GGGGAGGGGGAAGGGAGGGGAGGGGTTCTCCCCCCCACTCTCCACTCTGAGTGTCCCCTCCCTCCTCCCTGTTCTCTGCACAGCATGTACACACAGCGTTCTACACGTGAGCACAGACACGTGTGAGTGAAGTGTACACACACACACACACACACACACACACACTAACACATGTAAAGTGTGTACATTTACTTTTTACACACTTTTCATATTTTTTTTCAAATCAAATGAAGACGATTCTTCTTGAACTGCTGTTTCTAACATGCAGGTCGTGGACCACAGGACAGGCCGATGGCGGCCGGTCCGTTCTCCAGACACAACCAGGTTCCTGGACCTGTTAACCATCTCTGAGGTGAAAACTACGGCTGTAGTTTCAGCTCCGTCCGGTGGTGTAGCGGAGAAGACGACAGGCGACTGAAACTGAAACAGTCGTCCGTTTCCGACTGTACTTTTCCTGTAAGTCGTTGTTGTTGTTGTTAACGCCGTACGATCAACACTCTCCGTCGTTTGACTCACACAGGAGCGTCAACAATCAGCCCACACACTCCGTCAAACAAACCCGTCCCTGGCAGACGGTGTGAGGGTTCATGTGGGGGCCCCGCCCCGCCCTGATCCAGCTGCTCAGTCTTTCCTAACGTGGGACATCCCAAAAACAGCAGAAAAACAAACTTCCACGGAATCACTGCGGTCTGCTCCGCTCTGACACAACACGATTTCTGTTTGTTTACCTGTCGGAGAGCGTTAGTCACCTCCCCCTCCTCCCCCCTTCCCCCCCTCCCCCTCCTCACCCCACTGTAACCAGGAGCAACCGCGTGTGGATACCAGCAGGATCGGGACCAAATGTGGATGTGACCGGTTTCACAATTCCAGGGTTTAATTTTGAGCTGAACATTTCAGGAATGTGTTTGTCAGTCAGCAGCAGAAGGATTCAACTACCAGTTCTTACTGCCACCCAGTGGCTGGAAATGCCACTGCATCACTTCCCCCCCTCCCCCCAGGCTATCAGCAGCTGGACTGGAGGTGAGAAATTCTGCTGTAACAGATAATCCAGCTGATGAACTTTGACCTGTGGTGGAGCCAAGGCGCAAAGGTCAAGGCACAGAGGTCAAGTCTGTCAGTCAGAGCAGCGTTGTATTCACCTGTTGTGTCTGAAAAGGTTTGAATGACAGCATGTGTTCTACTTTATTTATTTATGAATTTGTTTGTTTATTATTATTTATTTATTAATTTATGTGTTAAATTAATTATTTTTTCATTCATTTATTTGTGTATTTATTATTTATTTTCATTTGTTATGTTTTCCTGAATGCCTACCTATTTTTACAAAGAGTAGAACACCACTTTTTTATTTTTTTATTTTTATTATTTCTACTGTTCTGCAGGGTCAACTGTTCAGCTGCAACAGATTAGTTTCTCCAATAGATGGAGCCCTCACGACATCACGGACCGCCCTGTTCGTACTGTAAGAACCACGTGAAAACGACATAAACTGAATTAATATTTTATTATTAGAGCTGATTCCTTCTCATATATTTAGTGTTTAATTATTACTGCAGTAATTGTATTTTATTATATAATTAAAATATTATAATAAAATAATTGATTATGTATTAGATCAAATACCATTCACAAATATATACAGATGTGTATTTTATAATAATAATAATAATTCCAGGTATTATTATTATTATTATTTCAGGGGGGTGGGGGGGTAAACTCTGTCACTTCCTGTTCGGGCCTTTCCTGTTGAAACTCCATTCCACAGCAGGCGACTGCAGAGCTGCTGCTCCGACCTGAGTCAACACACTGTTGTCAAAGGCACTAACAGCCCGTATCCTGGCAACCACCGGACAGGAAGGAAGTCCGAGAGCTCCTGTCAACAGCAGCACACGTGACTGCGGACTGTTAGTAAACAAGAGCTGCAGAAGGGAAGTGATGTCACACACGGGAGCAGCTGGATCTCATCAGGCTCCAGTCAGACCATGACTAAGAATTATTATTTAAGATTTTTAAGATGAGTGTATTTCCTACTCTTTTTTTAAAAATGTAGACTTAAAACAAAAATAATAACTTTTTTTTCTTGTAACAAAGTGTTATTTCTTCAAAAACCTCAACTTAAACATGAATGTTTTTCGCATTGAATATATAATAAAATGTGTATTTGCAGAGTTTCCCGTGCTAACGTGATAATAGCCTGTTAGCCGTCCCAGCTCTGTTTGGACTACGAGTTCTGACATGTTGGTCTGACGTGAGTTAATCTAAAGAGCAGGCGCTGGTGTGATGATAATGACAGTCTGGAGGTGGAACCAACGGAACGATCTAATAATTAATGTCATCCACGGAACACTGACGAAGGGACGAGGTGTTGAAACGACATCTGGATTCTGCCGCTAGATCACACGCTAACGTGTTAGCTGGTGTCAAAAGACAAAAATGCACGCACTGTTGCATCATTCAGACATGAATGGACAGAGAGACGGATCTGAGCGAAAACTCTACCACTTCAATAAATACACCACCGACCTTTGACCTTCCTGTAGCTCCCCAGCCCTCCTCTGTCACTGTGACTGAGTGGACCCTGACAGAGCGGTGACCCCGGGTGACCCCGGGTAACCAACACAACCACACCACTGATGGATGTTGAAACTTTGTAACAGACTCTGCCTTTGTGGTCACGGCGTGTCAAAGCTGTGGTTCCCACCCCCCCACACATGACCCTGAGCTGTTGCTGTAGTAGTGTGAAGTGATTGAACAACTTGGGTAGCAGCATATAAAAGTCAACTAGCGCACGTAGCATACGTAGCAAACATGGCCGCTCTGGGCAAAACAGCAGCACGGAGATAGGATGAAGGGGAGACTGACCTCGACAGACCAGTCCATCCTGGACGATGGTCTGCTTACAGAAACTGCAGTGTTTGGTCTTCTTGAAAGTCTTGACTCTGAACGTGTGGGAATGAAGGGCCTCCAACTCCTCTGGCTGCTGCGGAGAAAAGAAAACAAGGGAAAGACGGGAACGTCACAGGAATGTTTGTTTATAAAGGGTTTCAAGGTAAAAAAAAAAAAAAAATAATATATACATATATACACATATACATATTTAACTATTTATTAATATATGTATAAATATATTTTTATATATTTTATACATATATAGCGTATATGTACATATATACACATATAGACGTAAAATATTTACGTATATACTGTATGTAAATGTACATAAATACATGCACAAATATATATGCGTATATGTAGATACATATATTTCTTTTTTTATTTACATTTTTATATATATGTAGTTTGAAATTTCACTAATCACCATAAAAAAGAATAAATGATAAAAATATATATGATGAACTGAGTTTAGGTGCAACACATACAGAGTGAAATATACAGAGATTTGACTGTTTATCTGGCATCAAATTTCCGAATTCTTTGCTCAGATATAAGCAGCTTTAAAGGCACCCAACGTGTGATTAAAGAAATATATTAGATGTGTTTTCCAGACGGGGGGACCGGGGGGGGGGACGGGGGGTCCATCTAAACCAGGGCCCTGCCATCAGGCTTCCATTACGTCCTGGTCCGGGCTCAGATGGCCATGTGGTTGCCATTGAGTGGACGGAGGATTTTTCATATTCGTGGTCTTACCAGGCAGAGTTAAGGAAATCTAGTTAACCCCCGGATCAAAGCCACAGAAATCCTCCAATGAGCTGCTTCGCTCTCTCATCAGTCTGGAAAGGCGGCGAGTGAGGAAGTAGCTCAGGGCGTGTAGTCGACCCCGGGGTGACGATGACGATGATGACGATGACGATGATGATGAAGAACACACCACAGCATCAACACAGCTGGACTGCTTTCGTCCACCATAATACTAGTACTTCAAAGATACTGTATACAGAACAGGTGTACTTGGTACTGCAGGTACTACAGCCGCCCGGCTGGTGTCAGTCTACGTCTGACAGTCTGTCGTCTGACTGACACGGCTGTGTTTTTCCTCATTACCTCTGGCATTTTTGCAACGTCACTTTTAATTTCACAGGAATTTGCGGTGCCTTCAGGGGAGGTCGGAACTCTGACATTTTACCGGTGGCCGCTCTCATGACTGTAACCCCTTTCTAAAAGAGCCCAGTTAAAGAGCATCAAATCCCCGCTCACTAAACCCACACAAGCCCAGTCTTCATTAGCATAGCTAACAAACTCTGTGAAAGAGCAACAGTGGAGGCACAGAACAATAGAGGTCTATTAAAGGGGAAGATGAGGGGCTGAAAGTAGGAGGGGGCAGCTATTGTTCTGGTCTTATTTAGCCTTTGGTGTCAACCTGCAACTGTTGTCACTTCTAACTTTAGCCTGACTGCTGAAGAGGGCAGCGCCAAGGAGGAGAAGATGAAGATGAAGATGAAGATCAACTTTATGAAATTCCAGAAAACACTACGATATTTCAAAATACAGTAAGCGTAGTTCTTGATTCTGATTGGGCAGAACCCGACAGACAGTGTAACGTAAACCGCAAAAACGTAAAAAAAAATCATCACTTTTAATGGAGCTCAACAGTTGACCTTTGCTGACCTTTGCTGACCTTACTCTCTGTGACATGATATTTCTCCAGGTCTAACGCTACGTTTGTAATCATAAGTGCGTGTGTGTGTGTGTGTGTGACTTCCAGTCTCTGCTCTCCAACACACACTCCAGTGGAATCATGGAAAACTGTTGTTTTCAGCAGTGATTCCTGAACTGTTCCAAACATGTGACTCATCCAGAGTGATGTCACCGCTGTTTACACACTGAGACGCACTGACAATAACCTCAGATGAACACACACACACACACACACACACACACCTAAACAAACAAAAATAAAAAAGTTTCAGAGATAGAGATTTCTTCATGTGCTTTTGTAGCACGACTTCTTTTTCCACGACCGATGAGGAGCAGATTTAAAAATAAGTAACAAAAAAAGATTTCAGGTCTGTTCACGATTACTTACTTCACCAAACTAACCCTGACCAACGAGAGTGTGTGTGAATTCTCTGTGGGAAACAATTCACGACTTAATGAAGTAAAAAACCAAAAGAATAAAAGATTTTTTTTT